AACAAAAAGAAAAAAAGAAAAATAAAAGAAATAAAAAAGAACAGCATTGCATTCACATTTTAAACAATGCACCACAGGATATGAAATATAAAATTAGTGTGTAATAGAATATGTGAGCAACAATATAATAGTAACAAAGATAGGAGAATAAAAGCTAATGGGAACTATTTGTTAGAGTGCCGCAGTAAGTTGATCGTGTCATACCTAACGGATGTCTCATCACATAACAGCTGTGCCAGATAAGGTATTGTGGAGTTTTTGTACTTGGTAGTCCTAGCATATAGCCTCCTATAGTTGCTTCAAGTTCCATAGCAACACCATTTGTCTGTCTATATAAACTCCTTTTAAATGTAAAATAATTACTTTCTAGACAGAATTTCAAGCTCTTAATTATTTCACTGGTGTACAGTGGATATCTTTGTTATAGTGTTGTTTCTGATTCTAGCAGACTGGAAATGATATCAAGACTTTCGGTAATAGGGATACTAGTATATAATGAGTTAATATCATAGCTTACCATAATGTCTTCTTTATCAATTTCTCGGTGTTCTATTTGGGATTTGAAATCATATGAATCTTTTACAATATTTTGAGTGTCCTTTTGCAGTGGTTGTAGTATCGAAAATAAGTATTTAGAGAGGTTGTATGTCGGTGAGTTGGTAAAATCTACTACTGGTCTTAATGGAACCGTGGGTTTATGCATCTTTGGTTGACCGTTGGCTCCTGAAGGTAGATAAGATTTTGGTTTTAGTTTAAATCAGAGAGAATTTCCTATTTTGGGTTTCATTTCTTGAAGGAGTCTGTTGCTATTAAGCTTCATTTTGTTGAATTCCGCAGATTTCTTCGTTTCTTCAATGAGTAAGTATGGTCCTTCAGATAGGTGTTCAATCGCCTTCTTTTCATAATCCGTCCTGTTCATTATCACAGTGACGTTTCCCTTGTCGGCTTTAGTTATAATGATGGTTTTGTCGGCAGAGGGTGTATTGATTATATCTTCACCCTTCGAGAGATTTTGGAGCATAGGCATACTTACCGTTGCCGTCCAACAATCGTTATATTTCTTGAACTAAGAGCATTTGATTCTGTTGACAGAATACTTTGCCGATGTTAGGCTGTAGAGGGAATGCCGAGAAAATAAATTAAACTGATCAAGGCACTCTACTAGAACTCATGCAGCCATGTAAGAGCCTACGGCGAGTTGTCATATGAAGTGGTAGGAACTAGTGGTGTCTGTCAGGGGTGCTCACTAACGCTAACAAATAGACAAGTATTCTGAACACCTTGAGCTACAATCTGAGAATGTTCGGCGAGCGATTCGCTCCCGCCAAAGCATCATTATAACTAAAGTTTCCTATTCTTGATTGGTGAGATTAGATGGTATGTTTCGTTGTGTCATTAATATGTGTGATATCTTTTGACGTACATATTGTAATTCTTCATTGGTGAACAGTTTTTGAGAAGGTTCGACCATAGGTGCTATTTCCTGGACCAATAATGGTTTTCTAGTAACACTGAAATTCAAACCTTTCTGTAGTAATGAGATTTCATTTTCGGTTAGTATCTTGTCTGACATGTTGTGTATTGCTCTAATATTCTTCGTATCAGTTGTTATTGTTATATTACCTAATCGCTAAGTGACAATGGTTATTTTCCCCTCTACCCCTACTAGGATGCACATTCTACCTATATACTCACCGTTGTCTCGAGTATACAGCACAGGTATGAATTTATCCTTTTTATTATTATTATGATCCCCTTGATTGTTATCCATTAGTTCACACCACTGACCCTGTATTTTATAAACCACATACATTCAAATGCCTATGATTGGTATTTGATTATGTAAATGTAAAGCCTGATGAGGATTTACCGAAAATACGTATTTGCTTAAATCGTATTCTATAATTTTCCTTATGAGAATATTTTAATTACTATTTATCTTGTCACACGTGGTTGCAAGGCGAGCTCCCAGACCACTAAGCCAGCTGTTCAGTACTCCCAAGTTTTCCAATGGTTCTCTAACCGATGTCAGTTCATGATGAAATCCTGTAACCAATCAATCAAATCCCTACAAACCGATATTTGAAAATAAATATTTATCTTTTGAAAATAATTAGGAGTTGTGCTAGGTGATAATGTCTTGATGGACAATAGACGGGATTACACATTGAATAACATGCTGCAATCTCACCTAAGAAGCCTCTTACTAAGTTGTTCCACGTAAAATACTTCTTTTCAATAAATGCCTGAGTTTTCACGCCCCCGTTAATGTTTCGGTTTCTCTTAATGTATCAGAATTTCGAGGAGTATGATGGAACGTTCGTGCTAAATAGTGGATTCGGTTAACTGGGAGATTTAGCAGCATTCACACTGATAGAAAATCTCATAGTTTATGCTTTAATTAACCATCTTTCTATTACCATGTAATGGTGCTGCTTCCAGCATAGCAGTTATTATTGGAATTATTATTCCCTTGGATTCTGACTAGATTATAGGGCTTTAACAGAAATTCTTCATTTCATCCTGTCCTATGCACTTCACTTTGTCTGGCTCCAAAAATGCTGATAAGCTCTCATTAGCCTCCTTATACGATCTCCTCCCTGTCACCCTCGGATGCATGCCCAACTCGTCATTTCTCATTCGGATTCCACTCAAGGGCCGGCGGGGTACGCAGTGTCACCCTACGGTCATCTCAGCGTCTGTCTGATCCATCTCTATTTTATTCGGTATATCTTTTGGGTGATTGGTTCTCATTTCGTTCATTCCCAGAATTCCAAGTTGCTAATCTAATCTCACTGGCCATCCAATCTTTAATATGGAGCGAAACCAGCAGTTAGTGACACGCCGAATCTCTGAACAATACAGAAGCATTGACTGACTTGATAATAGTGCTTAAAATCCGAATCTTGTTCTTGATACTTGGTGCAGTAGATTTCAGTACTAATTTCAGATTATTGAGGGCCTGCCTTGCCTTTCTGATTTTGCCATTGACCTCTCCTTGCATGTCATCTGTAGTTGAAATGATGCCGTGTAAACAAGTGAAACAGACGACTTCTTTCAAATTTCTCCAGCTGATCGTGATCACTGCTTGTTATTGTCGTCTGCTATTACAATAACGATTACCAATATTATCTATCTGACTCACTCAACTGGCTTTACACACGTGCAAATTCTTAAGTGGGAGGTAAAAAAACAGTACTAAATAAAACTACGAACTAACTGTCTGCTGAGAAGGGATCACTAAAACGTCTAATATATAAAGCACTGAACTTTCTTCAGACAATATCAAAAAGAGACTAAATTGGAATTAACCCCTTGTATTCTTGTCACAAATTGAGCAAACAATAAGTTTAGTTAAATATGGTAGTTTTCGCCTTCTTTGTCATATGTTTCTTGATAAATTTGTCAGGATAACCATTTTCGATTAAAGTATCATATACCATGCTTAATTCATCTTCAATTACTTCTTCAGAGCATATAGCTCTAACTCTGTGGCTAAGGTCTCATTTTTAATCAATAAGTTTAATAACTAAGAATTTATCGGTGGTCATGGAAATAGGAAATTTAATGTTTTTTTCAACTTTTATTTCGTAAGTACACATTGTACTCGTATAAATCTCAGCATAGTTGAAATAAATAATTCCACCTTTTCGTTTGATAAACTGATTCGAACTTCTTCAGGAAATTTTCAGATGTCTATTATTTTTTCGATGAAAAAAGAACTGAAATTCCTAGACTTATTATACTCCTGACGAAAGTGTTAGAGACACTGTAAGACTGGTGTTAATTACCAGGAGTATACATGTAGTATATTTTCAGGAATGAATTATAAGTCTTATTATGAAGTAATTTGGTGGATCGTGGATGGAAACCACGATGTGTATTTCGTCCCATTTAGGACTCATCATTCGGGAACATCATAACTCACTCAGGAATGCAGATACACCTAGGTGATAAGTCCTAATTAGAACGAAATGCTCATCCTGGATCCCACTGTTAGTCATTACTACCCAAACTACTGCAAGTTAATCCTCAAACATCATTCAAGCGTCTCCATCAGAAGCCGATATGTCAAAAGAGGCCAAACAATCAAAGGGAAAGCCAAAATTGAATCAAAAACAAATTTTGAGTCCTATTAATTTACACTTTGCCTTTTTCTTTAGCATTCAGATCAAGTGATCATCTTGAATGAAGGTAATCTATCATCTGCTGAAGGTAGTTTTGTCTTGAATATGTATTCATCACTTCACATAAAGTCTTAAGGCTCAGAAAAATTCTGATCACTGACCACAATTGTTAATCTGTGAAGAGTAGTAGATACTTATGACTATACTTGGATATAAAATAATTTATTGCATTTTGAATATATGAAATTTTCTACTGAGAGCGAACCAACCAGGAACCAAGTGTGAAGCAAATAGGCAGGAAGAAATGGAGATGGATTTGGCCATACTCTGAGGAAACCATCAAAGTGACATCACTAGACAAGCCATTGCTCGAGTGGAACCCGAAAGGGAAGCGGCGAGTTGGTCGTCAGTGTGAGGGTGACTTGGAGGAGGTCATGTGAAGAGGAGATGAAGGCGTGTGGGCAGACTTGGAGCCAGGTGAAGACTCTAGCAGAGAACCGAACGCAATGGAGACGCACGGCTGAAGCCCTATGTTCCTCTAGGAATTAAAGGAAACAATAATAATAATGATCATTAATGAAAAACATTCAGTTTTTACTATGACGTTGTTTGATTACGACATTTGTAGACGTTGAACACAATTGATATGAACTTATTATTCTCCTCTTATCTTATTACTCTGCTTTCCGAATGAAATGTAGGACTTGAGGCTTGACAGCTCCCATCCTTCGCTCTTCACTGGACTCATCAAAGTCTAGGCGAGGTTAAGACAAGTGCGTATAATTTACTTCATTAAAAAAAACAACACTAAGTACATACATAAAAACATGTAGACTGTATCTAATGACATCAATGATAATAAGAACAACTTACAGTAAATAATCTTTTCACAAAGTCGTATTTTGATCTTGACTTTAAATCACTCAAGTCTATATCCTGACTATCTGTAGTTTCCGCCATCAAGATTTATTAATACTCATCAAATTTTACGCCGAATTTTACGAACTTTGTTTAAATATATTTCATTTGGTTTATTCACTATAATTTGCACTTATTTAACTATCCACACACTCATAAATAAACTAATTCCATAATAAAAATAATATTCATTCACACAGAGACGCAGAGATAAATAAAACGGATGCTTTTATACTTGATTTCGAGAAGTAAAAAAAGTTCGCAAGTAATCCACGAATATGAGTACATTTATATATGTATATATTCGTTCTTATCACCGTTGTCATAGTTACACAGATAAATAAGTGTGTGTGTGTGTGTGTAAATATCCTAGCAAGTATACTACATTTTCCTCGGGTGTGCCATAGTTTCTTTTTCTTTCTTTTATTTATTTTTTTTTCTATTTTCCATACAGGCGTGGTTGGGCGACGTGTTCACAAGCTATCGATTTCGCCTTTTCTCATCATGAGCATTTTTTTTTCAAATTCTGAATAGTATACAAAACAAACGGGTTGGATAATGGTAGTGTTATTGTTATCATTAATACTGACTGTTTCTTTCGAAATCATTGAGTCGCTGGTAATCGAATGGTAGATTGATTGGTATTGGACACTATGTATGCATATATAAATATATTTCATCTACGTTTTGTTTTCATGACTGTTTAGTTATGAAAAATCATGATAAATGATAAAAGTGGTGACATAAGGTTTTGATTTACAATAAAATTTTTATTTATTTTCTTTAACACATTTTATATATAGTGAGCTTAAAACTAGACGAAATATGATAATCAGTTGAAATTATGTCTGTCATGCATACTCTTTTTTGAAAAAAATTATGAATACATTTCTACTGGTTACTCGTCTTTTTCTATACAATCAAGTGGTACTTGAAAACACCACCAAAAACAGTTGAAAAAGAGAAGACTCAACGGGGATTTTTAAAAACAGTTGAATTAGTATATTTTATCTGATTCATTGTACGTAGGATAGTGCTATTAATAAGCTTTATAAAAAAATATATCAGCCATGAAAAGTCGTCACCAATATCTTTTATCCCTGAATATCTATAGATGTATGCAACGCAAACCGACAGCAACTAGAGAAGTATGAAAAGGCAAAAACTAAAACACTAGGCTGTTTGTTACTGATTCCCCTGTTTTTGAAACTTTTATTAGAATTATTATGTGAGACAGAGAGGCAGTAATCGTTAGGTTAGACAAGGATCCTGTAACTGTAGTGCGATGTAGATTGACTGGCAGTGGTTAAAATTGAAATCAAATATTTTAAGTCAATGACTGAAGAGGTAGAAGTGTCTACTCCTTAAATCTGGATTCAGTTAAGTATTTTGCGAAAATGGAGTGATTTCATTGGACAACTTGTTTAACCTTGGGCTAATTACCAACCAATCAGAATAATTTATTGTCCTCTGACCTAGGCAAACTTTAATATGGATATAAATGTATAAATATGATGTGTTTTTCCTTAATAGAGACCTATTACCAAGTCTACATCTTCTCCCGCTACATAACGTTACGACCTTATAACATTCGATTAGTCTGTCTATCCTGTATGGATACTTTTCGAGGTAATTTTAGCATGTATTGAAAATGACAAACATTTAAGGATCTAATTTTTTGTTGATAAATAATTGTCATTATTATGATAAAGGTAACCAGTATGTATTGCATCTTTATTCGTTGACAGACGGACAGACTGTATGAGTTAGGTAAAATTCAAGTGTACAGTATTTAGACCACGTGGCTTAGTAGTGTTATCGAGTTCTTTTAGAAATCATCTGAAATCCAAACGAAAAAATTACTATGGACTGAAAAACATGGCTCTTCTCTATTGAAGCTATTAAGAGTTAACTGTGTTCTGGTCAAGTCTTATGATCAAGGTAACATTAGAAAGGATCATGTTGAGAGTACTGTTATTGTTTGACTTCAACAGCATTTAAGTTTCAAGCTAAAATATGCACACACAATACACAAAGGGATTTGTTCTAGGATTCTTAATACCCCTAAATGCAGCAGGTATATTTATAGACTGTTTAGGAAATATAGCTATTGAAATGTCTAGCTCTATCCTTAAAATATGGTGTATATATGTCTAGGTTTAAAGTGTAGCAACGAAAACTGAAGTGTTGTAGTCTGATCGCCGGAAACCAGACTTCACCTTCTACTTTATAGCTAAGTGAAACTTCATTGGGTGACAAAAATCCTAAAGTGGCACAACGATAGGAAAAAGACAGTTATTCACGATAAAATCGATGGTTCTCAACCATGCCGTTAGGCAGTTGTACAGTCTAACAATTTATCAGGCATAAAACAGGTGGTGAGAATCAATGAGTATATTTCCAACAAGGTGGGATCAAAACTCTGTCAGATAGGATTACGCACCAAACAATTCTTGCAGACAGTTCAAGGTCATAAGCCCCACAGCCAACCTTGATCTTATTCAATCACGCCATCAAATAACATCAAAGATAGAAGCGTATGAATTAAGGATTACAAAAGAAAAAAGACAGATGATAAGGATTAAGTCAACAGGTCATACGTCAATGTTAGAACAGTATGGTATAAATCATGGAAAATTCCCATTGTAACATATAGAAAATCAAAACAAATGATTCAGCGAAAAGACCCTTTTCAACGAATTTATCATCAAGCTGTACAATCGTATATATATGGTTATTTTTAAGAAGTTATATCCGGTGAGGGAATTGAAACATAGGTGTGAATGCATGAAATAATAATAATATGAAGTGCAATTAAAACTAGAATGTTTGTGATTATAATCGTAGTTAAATGTCAAGTGGCAAAGCAAATTAATGTCATATATAGAATAATTCATAGGATGAATAGAACTTGAAAAAGGTGTGTAATTATAAGATTAGTAGACAAATCGAAAAAATAAAAACGTTACGTAATATTGTGTGAAATTTAATAGCATAGAATTTAATGTTGCATAAAGGAATTGATTTAGAATGACAAGTGGAACAAGTGAAATAATACCGGGGACAATTAAAAGTGAGAGTAGTAATAGTAACAATTGACTTAATAAGGAAGAGTATACAAATTGAATACACAAAAATGAAAGAATGAAAAAATGGAGAGTTGGTAGAGCTAAAGTATGATTGGGGATTACCATACTTTAGCATAGAGGGATTAAGACCATGAAAGCTGGAGGGGTTGAACGAACTTCTTCTGTACACAGAGATCTGGCTTTTCTGTTTCGATAGCCAAAGCTTCAGCAATACAGATGAGTCGGGTACGTAGGGATTTGGGTAGATTACTCTTTGCCTTGTAGATGACTTTGAAGGCGGGGGCTATAGAGATAGGGTGATCATTATCGACCAGATGTTCAATGATCGCGCTTCTTATTGCTCCACTACCACCTTTTCGTAACCATGCAGGATAGTGTTCTTGCACCCTCTTGGACAAAACTCGTGTCGAACGACCGATATACCTAGCTCCACAAGAGCAGGTGAATTGATAAACACACATAGAGTTGGCCAGCAGCGGGATCTTGTCCTTCAGGTTATTGAACAGCAGTGATCGACTAGTAAAAGCTATTCTCAGAGATGTAGCAGGGAATGTTCTTCTCAGGGATTATGATATCCTTCGTTTCATGATATTGGAAGCGAAGTCCCCTTTGAATTCCAAGTTCAAGTTGAGTATTTTCTTGGGTGTGGATGATAAGTCACTTTTTATAGGATTTGAATGTATATTCCTGTCTATAAAGCTTGGTTGAAATCCATTTTCTATTAGGATATTCCTCAAAAGATATAACTCATCCTCCACAGTATCAGGGCTACATATTCACCGAATGTGAGTGGCAAGTGACCGGATCAGGTTTCGTTTTCGACCGATGGGTACTCAGCTGTAGAAATTTGTCAGCTGATCATTCCATGACAGCTTTCGATAAATCGATCTCTTCAGAGTTCCCTTGGTCCTTCTTGATAAGTTCACATCGAGGAAATGAATGCTAGACTCGTTCTCCATTTCGAGTGTGAATTTTATCGCAGGATGGCAACTGTCAAGGAACTTAGCCCTAAGTTCCTATTGTAACGAAGACTTAAGCGATTGAACCGATAAACACTGTGTGTTTCCTTCAACTTTAAATCCAAAACACCAATATTCCTTGAACGAAATTATATTGTTTGACAATTAAAGTGAAGAAAACTACAAAGTCTGCAAACAAATGTTAAGTACAAATAAAGTTATGAAGTACTTTTATTCGTATTGAAATCCAGTCTTCCTTCAACTTGCAAGCGATCGTTCCATTCGCGCCTTCAATTGGCCGCCAATGGTTGCCAGTTCCAATAAAACAAACGTTCAATGTTCACTTCCATTGACACTCCCCGGCAAAAAAGGGTCCATCCCTTTTTTCCACAACGGCGGTAACCTTGAACTGAACTGCCAATGCGGGAACCTGGGCCAATCGGGACTAGGCTAAAATTGGAAAAGCAAGACAAAAAAGCCCAACACACAGCAAACATACCACATCACACCGACACGCTCTCCCCGGCGCATGGGGTCTACGCTGTCTGACGACAATACCACCACTGATCTCGTTCACAAAGTATCGATTGCTTCATTCCACTCTAGCCCAATCCTCTCCCCGGCGTATCCAATCGCGTACGCTGACTATAACTCTACTCGATTCGTTCACAAGTTTAGAAGCGAATTCAGAAGTACTTACAAAAACATTACAAGATGATTCACACAATGCGACAACTATAAAATTAACCGACAATCAGATGAATCGGAACCCACTGAATTACTCAACACAAACATATGTACAATCAATATATCAAATGTTGTGGATTCTGCCTTGACGAGCTACCCTTGAAGAACTGTAGGACTTACAGCAGTACGCCTACATTTCTTCTCAGGTTGACGATCCAAGTGGAAGACGTCCGGATACAAACAAAATTAATCAACAGATAGAAGAGGGATGATACCAATTCATTATATACAACATGAACATATGTACACCAAGTACGATGGACTGCTCTTCGACGTACTACCCTTGAAGAATTGTAGGACTTACAGCAGTACGCCTACAACCCTTCTCAGGTTTACGCCCTTAAGTTGGAAAATCGTCGTTGAGCTCATTTGCTGACCTCCTTCCATCATCTATATCCTCGACTCTGAATGGTAACACGCCCATGACATTGTATCGTGGAAGG